GCAGGAGGAGGTAGCCTTGGTGGGGGTCCTCGAGGAGGGGGACCTGGTGGAGGGCCAGATGGTCGGCCTGGTGGTGGTCCTGGAGGTAAAAGTTGTGGTAAAGGCCCTTGGATTTGTGGAATTCCAGGTGGTCTCAGGAACGGAGGAGCCCCTGGAGGTGGTCCAGGAGGCCATAAGGGTGGGACAGGCAGTGATCCAAGAGGTGGTGGTCCTGGCTCGGGAGGTGCTTGGATCTGAGAAGGAGGGGCAGACTGTGGAGGAGCCTGTTGTTGTGAAGGGGCAGCAGATGTGCCATCAGAGTGGCAGTCCTCTTTATGCTGCTTTTGCCACTGCTTTCCGATTCAGAATCACCAGAGTCCTCATCCTCCTCCTCCTCTGAAAATTCCTCCACTTCTTGTCCTTCCTCAGGGATTTCCTGACCTGCCATTCGAAGCATCATGGCTTGAAGAGGAGTCAGATCCTTCATGTTCTTCTTCTTCCTCGATTTTCCAGGCATATCAGCAAATCGGACACTCAGACCTGACTTCTTTTCCTCAGGATAGACTTCCTCACTGTCATCACGGTGCCCCAACTCACCCCCCCCCACTCTCTGCCTCACATCTGTCAGTGTCACTGACCTCAGTGCTGTCGTCATACTTATCCTGATCCATGTCCTCAGGATAGCCACCGTCATCATGACCCCGCTGAACAAGTTCTGGACCATACGGCATGTCTTCACCTTGCCTCCGAGTGGGAAGATCTGGAGCAAAGCGAACTTTACGACCATACATCTGCAGGACTTGAGGAGGAGCTGGGCCAGGGGGAGGGCCAGGTGGTTTTCTGCCAGGGGGCAAACATGGAACACCATGTCCAAGGAGAGGAAGGGAATACACTGCTCGAGTTGGAGGCCCATAGGCCGAGGTTTTTTTTTTAAGAATGGAGGGTGGCTGGGCACCAGGAAGTGGAAGGTCCTGGATCAATATGTTGGAAGGAGCATGTGGCATGTCTGGCAAAGGGATGCTCTCGACTTCTACATGCTGAGAATTCTTGATAGCATCAAAGTACTGGCTCAGCTGAGCTCTCTTCTGTTCATATTCTA